TGTTTTTGCACTTGAACCACAATTTGCTACGTTGTGAGCGCTTGCAATCATTGCAACCCCCCCCCCCCTCACTCCGGGTCGGTTGGGTTTTTTTTGAGCTGAGGAAGAAGTAGTCAGACATTTCCCTCTCCATTGCAATCTAAAGCCATTAGCAATAGATTGCAAGTAATCCCTCATAGGCTACAAGTTCATAACTGGGCAGAAAATAAAGGAAGTTCACTCTTAGAAACATTCTTGGTTGGTTTTCTCTCATCTAGCTTGTGAAGATGTCTGAAAACAATGTTCACACTTGACCTGCAGCTTATAGATTGTACTTATTCTATTAAAGGGCATCTTAATCCAGATAGCCTCAACTCCATTCAGAGCCTGCTCTCAGCATCATGACTAACTGCACTTTAAGTGAGGGTGAGGTTGTGAAATGGTGTATTAGGGCAGTCCTTTATCCCGCTGGTCCCCTATCCTGTGTCAATAATGTTAAGTAATTACGCTATAAAATACAGGTTGATCAGCTGAAACATACATAGCCCAGGAGAAAATTGAAGATGAACAGGAAAGAGAATCAGAGAACCAGATAATTATTTGAGTTGGAATGACCCCCAAAGGTCATCTAACACACCTCCAACACCCAGCCTGACCTTGAATGTCTCCAGTGATGGAGCATCCACTGTTTCTCTGGGCAACCTGTTCCAATGCTTCGCCATCCTGAGCCTGTCCCCATCTTTCTTTTATATCACCTTTAGGTACTGAAAGACTAACATTAGGTCTCCCTGGAGCCTTCTCCTCTCCAGGTTGAACAGCCTCAGCTCTCTGTCTAAAGAGAAAGCATCTGATTTAATTTCACAATCAGAAACAAATTCAATGAAATGAAGTCTTCCCCAGCTTTTTTTTTTAAATCAACTCAAGTTACATTAAATATACAAATATGTTTGCTAGAGAGCAAGATTTTTCCTGCTTTAGGAATTTTTTACTAAAATATGCAGTATTCCAGCTATAAAAAAAAAAAAAAAAAAACTGAAGAGAAATTGTAAGGAGAAATTAATCTCTCCAGATGTATTAGGGTCATCCTTTCAAAGCAGCCACTTGACACTTAACTGTGCAAAGTTTTGCTCTAAGGAATGCTTCATGAATTACTAAGATTAAATATATACATAAATATATACATAAATATATGAGTACAGATGAAAGATGAAGTAGCTGTTGTGATGTTAAGCAATATTCCAGCCAAGAGGCTCTTTACTTGTTTTTATCAGTGTTATGAACGTTTCCAAACTACGTTCACC